CCCGACTAATTATTTCGGACGGGGACAAGACAAATATTTGATAGCCGTATAGTATTCAACCGTTTTGTGTTTGCTTACAAGGAGTGATAACTATAGATAGATGATTAACCTTCGACACGCGCGGGCGGTCGGGCGGCCACTTGCCCCGTATCGTGTGGTTCGACGCAATTACTCGGCGTATGAGCACAACCCACAGCCGAGCGGTCAGTCGACGCGCCGCACTCCAGCGGGTAACGTGTCTACATATATCTATAACACACTTGCTAAACAAAGAAAGTAAAATGATTTATTCAAGTGTAACGTGTTTGCTGCTCTGCGCATTTGCCGTGACGGCTGATACCCTGGACCCGCTCAGCGATGACTTTATCAATCTAATCAATTCAAAACAAGACTCATGGAAAGCCGGTAGAAACTTCCCCTCGGATACGCCTTTCAAGCATATCAAGAAACTAATGGGTACGTTGAGAGATGATCGCTTCACCACACTCGTAACAATGCAGCACGAAGTTGATTTAATAGCGAGTCTGCCCGAAAACTTCGATCCGAGAGACAAGTGGCCTAATTGCCCGACATTAAACGAAGTTAGAGATCAGGGGTCGTGCGGAAGCTGCTGGGCATTCGGCGCTGTCGAAGCGATGACCGACCGCATTTGCACCTACTCGAACGGTACGAAACATTTCCACTTTTCCGCTGAGGACCTGCTCAGTTGCTGTCCTATTTGCGGGCTCGGTTGTAACGGCGGTATGCCCACACTCGCTTGGGAGTACTGGAAACATTTCGGTCTAGTTTCTGGTGGCAGCTATAATTCCAGCCAGGGCTGCAGGCCGTACGAGATTCCTCCGTGCGAGCACCACGTGCCGGGTAACAGACTGCCGTGTAGCGGGGACACTAAGACTCCTAAATGTGTCAAGGAATGCGAGTCCGGTTACAAAGTGCCATATAAACAGGACAAGCACTATGGCAAGCACGTTTACTCGGTGAGAGGGGGCGAGGATCACATTAAAGCGGAGCTATACAAGAACGGTCCTGTGGAAGGCGCTTTCACAGTATATGCGGACCTGTTGTCATACAAGAGTGGTGTTTATAAACACGTTACCGGCGACGCCCTCGGCGGACACGCGATCAAGATAATGGGTTGGGGTGTCGAAAACGGCAACAAGTACTGGCTTATCGCAAATTCTTGGAACAGCGACTGGGGTGACAACGGCTTCTTCAAAATCCTTAGAGGTGAAGACCACTGTGGCATCGAAAGCTCTATTGTTGCCGGCGAACCATTGTTTAATTGATTCACTCACGCTCTAAGTATAGGCAATATTATGTCCTATAAAATGTATAGTCTTTACGGACTTGTTGCAATTTAATAAACTGCATTACGTTAATTCTGTGTTCTTCATTTAATACCTTTTAAAAGTAATGAAAATTATTAACCAAAATAGCAAGTAAACTATTTAAATAATATGTAAGTCCTAATAGCCTAATACATAATTCAAAATGTACGATTATATATTGTTATAACATTATTGACCCAATTTTCTAACATTTTTACAAATTAACAAAAGTTACGCATTACACCTACAAATTGTGCGGTAACAGATTTTGTCAAGCTTGCAATACTCCTGACGTCATAATCAGAACAAAACCAACGCAGGATGATTTCACCTGACGCGTGTATTTGAACGTTAATCATTTAATGAGCATTATTGCGGTAACTTCCTGAACGATTTAACTGCTAAAATTGAAATTAAATATCTTGTATACATTTTTGAATGTCAAGGAAATCGTAACTCGCTGTATTCATAATATTCCAATGTGATTATGTACTAGTTAGTACTAGTAGTCCCTTCCGTACCTCCTATTCCAGCGATCATGTTATCTGAATGCACATCCTTCTTACGCAAATCCTCTTTCCTACAATCTATTACTACTTTTTTTTGTCTTCCTCTACCTTTGTAGTCAGTTATTAAAGTTAGTATTAGTAAGTAACAAGCATTTAATTTTGTATTCGTAACACTACTAACGTTATCCAGTTAATTTAACGTCGAGCGGTTAAAAGTCGACTTAAACGTCGAGAGTATATTCGTTTTTCACATTTCATTAAAAATTTTAACTTGCTAACCGCGGTCGGGGCACTTTGAGTGGCTTTACGATGAGTTTTTAAACCGTGTAACGAATACACGAGTGCAGTTTGTTTTAGTCTAGTGTTTATATGCAATTTTTGTAACATTTCATCCACATTTAAATTGTGCAAACATATGATGACTGTTGTCTTTTAAAAGGTAAATTATACCGAGTGAAAATTTAACTATAGAAAAATTAAAAAAGTGTGCTATTGTAATGTCTATAGAATAATTGTTTGTTATCAACTCATTACTATAATACTAGCTGACGCCCGCGACTCCGACCGCGCGGGATTTAAAATAGATGTTGGCCGATTCTCAGACCTACTCAATATGCTCAAAAAATTTCACGAGAATCGGTCAAGCCGTTTCGGAGGAGTATGGGAACGAAAATTGTGACACGAGAATTTTATATATAAGATTATTAAGTTTAAATCGATAATTTCAGACTTCAAATTAAGCAATCTTCTGCAAGTTAAGTAAGAAAATAATGTTACATTTATCACTCTTAAACCTATCATTCTAATGGAATATATTTTAACTTTATTTATTTCTTCAATAGCTAATAAATCTTTTGTGCGGGATAAAAAAAGAAAAGGGTAATCGCTCTCAAAGTTTAATAAAGGATAAATGAAACCTATAGATAGATACATAACTCTGTTAGTTGTTGAACGGAGGGCACTATTCAATTTAAGAAAATGTGATCCGTCACTGTCATTCGCCATGCTGCAGTAATTGACCGAATGGGAAATGGCCGAAAGAGCGTCCCTCTAATTACAATTACTTTCGGATAGTAACGATAAACTTGAACTCAGTGAAAATTCACAAACGATGGATGTAGACCATTAAAATGATATTAAAAGGATTCGTTAATTCTCTTTCGGATACTGTTTTACTAAGGTACAACATAGGCCCGTGAAACTGTTTTTTACTCGGCCGCTTGCGACTATTTTTCTGTACGAGTCGCGGCCGTGTCAGTGAAAATTGTAAAATAGTTATCACACGTAGACTGTAAAAAGTGGCGAATGATAATGTGCACACGGCTCGGTTATAAAGCGCACCAACGAAAAACTGTGAATCAATGACTGTTTTTGCACGATGCGACTTTCCTTCACCTTAATAATACGAATAGAATCATAATTATATGATAAGAATAGTTTCTTCTTTAGTAACTGTTTTTCTTTTTCACCGGCATCTTGTGTTCTTTTGTTTATAACTATAAAACTAATTCGTCTACATACGCTATGACGTAATTAGTTGTTATTCACTGAAATATGAGATATGTTATGTTCATGCGAATGTTTTACGATAATTTAATGATATGTTTGAATCATCTGCTTCGACTTGTCACGTGTTGTTGATATCTGTTCGTAATGCAATATTAAATAGTGCTTGTTAATTTAACCGACAGCCTGGTAGGTCTGTCTGTTGTGGTGCCTATCAAATATTAATTCGTTAGTATC